TATAAAAGGTAATAGTAACAGATTTTAAACACTCCAAATTTGCAGCACAAGCAGATTGATATTAAACTAGTTGTCCTTACTGCACTTATTCAGTTCTTATTACAGCTTTTATTAAATGATGGACAAAAAATCTGTTTGTTTTTGTCTGGATTGATCTGTACCTTTTCCCTGACAATTAAAAGTGCAATTCAAAAACAAGGGTGAAGAAACAGACGATTGAATTAAATAATTTAAAACATATGACCATTAAAAAGATTTTACTCTTCTCGAAAGAAATGTAAAACCAAGGCGATGGAATGTAGGGGTGTGGCAGGTGCTACAGCACCCATTGAAGGATGCCAGAGGACAGGAGTGTCCAAAATGCATAGATAAAGGTTATTGAAAAATGAGCATTTCTTTACATGTTTAAATTAAAATAAAATAAAGAAATAAATGCATTTTTTTATTTGTATCCAGTCTTTGCTGCAATGTATTTTGGGGTTTGAAAGCCACTGGGACGTCATGTTTAGAAAGACTGAAGCAAAGACTGGTCTATTCCCAAGTTCCAGTCCCCCGGCACAAATAGACTAATATTGTGTATGCTGTTCAGTGTCAGGAGGGTGATCAGTCAGATTAGTTTGGAGAAACTAAACAGCCACTGGCCAAAAGGATGGCCCAGCACAGAAGAGCAACACCATCAGGCCAGGACTCTGCGGTCTACACTCATCTCCAGGCCAGCGGTCACTCTTTCAGGGATGAAGATGTGCACATCCTGGACAGAGAGGAACGATGATTTGAGAGAGGAGTAAAGGAGGCCATCTTTGTGAAAAGAAACCGTCCATCATTAAACAGAGGCAGAGCCTCCATGTTCAACTGTCCCCATCTTACAATGCTGTTATTGCTAGTATCACTCATCCCCCTGTGAATAGCAAGTGGTCATCAGGTGCTAACAATCAATTTTGGGGCTGACGGTCCTCCTTTTACATGTGAACAGCTAGTTCTGCCTGTTACCATCAAACTGGTTGATCCACTATGAGAAGGTGCTATTTATAAGACTGAGTTTGTTGCAGCTCCTCAGACTGAAGAAGTCTTTTGGATAAAAGACAAAACGTTTCTACAAGAAGAACTCGTCCAGAGGACCTGACTCAACCTCCTTAGATTCTGATATTTGTATATCCACATTTAAATTAGCCTGCATGCAGCTCTATAAAAGGTTGAGTGAAATGTTTAGATGAGTTGAGAATTTGGTGTAGTTCACTTTGGGAAGTCCAAAAATATTATGAGAAATATTTTATCAGACCTTATCTTTATTATCAACGTTTCCCCCTCATATATAGGTCTTTAAGCCCCTCAAACATTCTTAAATAATGATTACAGCATGTAAGGTGCTTTGATGAGGACCAGCTGAGAGCTTTGTAGACAAAGTGCCCTTGAAAAATATAAATAAATAAATAAAATAAATAAAATAAGGGGAAGGGGATTGAAAAATGTCTTTCTTGGAGCAATCTGTGCTTCATTTCTTAGCTCAAACCTCACAGTTCATTATACATTTTGCAGCTTGGTAACCTTAAATTGTTGCTGTCTGATTAATCTATTTCAGTGTTACAAATGACAGAATGCAAGAAATGGAATGTTAAATTAGTTTGAGATTAGATTTTAATAATAGTTTTCACGGGAGCAGCATGTCGACGTCTTCTCCTGGAGTCTGCAGCTCATTTAACCCTTCCATCACCACCAACAGTCCGTGAGAGAGTGGGAAATTTGTGAGAAGTTGTGGAAGTTGCATGACCATACCCTCAAAATTTGTTTTGAATGGACTTTTGAATCCAAATAAGATGCTGGTCTGGTCTAAAACCAAGTGTTTAAATGCATTTTTCAAAAGCGAAATAGTTTAAAAATGATTTACTTCGCCTGATTTTGCTCCTTAACGTATATGCTGGACGTCCCTTGTTGTGTTAGAGCTAAGTGCTCAGGTAAATCTACTGTGTCGTCTCCTGTCAGTGTCTGGAAAAAACAAAACAATTAGAGATCACATTCACAGGTCGAGCTGCTCAATGTTGCAACCTACTGTATGTGTGAGACCTGAGAGTTACATTCATTAGAAAATGCCACAAAAGGAGGGATGTATGCTCAAGAAGATTAAATAACCTACAGAATATTAGCTCCATGACTCAAGGGCCTGAAGAGATTAAAGAAAACAAACAAAACTAAAGTCTTCCAAGCAAAGTTTGCACTTTAACTATAATTACTGAGACTTTTTTTTAAAGAATTGTGTCAAAAAATAATTAAGAGTGACACTTAATGGTACCTCAGAGGCTAAAACAGTCAATACAACCATATTTTTGGCATTTGTTCAACCTTATGCCATTGATGCTGTTGTCACACTGAAGCATAATGAAACCAGTCAAGACACTCAATAAGTTTCCATGACTCAAACACTCAGTGCATAAATGCTTTGTGTCAGTGGCGTCAACAAAGCAATCAGGAAAGTGTGGCGTATTGAATCAAGGAGAATATCGTCCAGCAATAATAGT